TTCAATGTGATCAAGGTTATAGATGTAGTGACTAAACTAGATATTTAACTTGAAACTGCGTTGGCCATCCGCGTTTCAAACTGAATATCCAAGATTCATCACCGAGTAAAGAAACTGAAATTATTTACAAGAAGTCATGGGCTAAATAAAATAATCAAGGGTCAAAGGAGGTCAAATTTACAAATAGTAGTATATAAGGACAAGACTTAATCTTGGAAAAGGATGACATTGAATAAAGGTTACGAATACAAGATGACGATACGATAATCGATAGAAGACGCGTAGAACTAATAGTACCCCCTACTGCCCGATGTGAGGCCGCACTCAAAGTTAAAACCATTTCACGTTCTTGAAGTAGGTCCTCATGAGTTGATGTTGGCGTGCCCGAAATTCGAAGAAATTCCTTAAGATGGGTCAAGAAGATTCTAACATAGTTGGGGCAAGGTAGTCTCTAACCGCAGGTTGAAACGCGTGGGTAAGGGTTGAACCTAGGCTTTGATACCATATTGTGACGCCCTGAATCTACACTATCGGTTGCAGTCAAGGGAGAGTCACTAATGAGTCCTATGGTTAATAACCAAGTAAGATCCCAGATCGTCGGAGGAGTTAGATTAGCCTCTCTTCTAAGTCCGGCTTTCTTAGGCAGCGCACTACCCTTTTGACAGATCTTAAAAGGTATTGACACAAGGTCTCATAAGCAACGATAAGGTTCATACATAAATATATAGAATATAAGTACATAACAACCACGAATATCCTCAATTTCAAAACCTTGTTCTATTACATTATATCCGAAAAGAAAATTTAAATCTTCATATGAGTTTTACAAAATATCAAAGGAATTTCTAACTTTCCTAAGATAGCCAAAAATCTTCGAAGGTTTCAGGCTCGTCGTCTCCAGCTATAAGCTCCTCTTCGGCACCTGGCATGATACGTCGTGAGCTTTGAATGCCCAGTAAACACACACACCCCGCGTCCCTTTTTTCCCAGTCCAATACACAATCACAATTATAACATCAAGTAATAAAGCATGATACTCAAATAAATAAAGGGTTAAGTTAGATGTTAGTAAACTAGAAATCCTCCAAAGAGATTTCGTCCTCCCAACCACAAGAATCGGACGCGGATTATTCGGTATGCCCCATCTTTTGCTGCTTTGTTGCAGAACTAATCTCGGATACCTACCAACGGTTATGTACCACGTAGCGCCAACTGCAGGGCCTCAAAAGAGACGGTAAAATAGGGCCTTGCTCGAATCCCTCCTCACACCAAACCACCTAGGGTCCGAATACAACCGCTCCGTTCAAGGGTTCCGAAAACCACTTGCGCAAGACTTAAACTTCCAAATAGGGAACGCATCCCAACAATCCATACATCACACATTTCTATCTTTTCATTACTCAAGCGATCGAAAATCCAATACCCTCCCAATTAAGTTTTCCGTTGAGTTAAATGTTTTAAATCAAGGTTAGACCAACTTAACAAGATAATAATATCCATATAAGCATGCATCATTAAGATGAAGAAGATAAAGAACATAATCATAACATGTGCAATATCATGCCAAAATATGATCATAAGCTAATAAGCATTTTCATGAACACAAGAGCATAAAACACCCATGCGCAACAGAATTTCCAGATTCAATATCACACAAGGATTAGAATGAAAGGACTATTTTAGATTTTTCACCAGACTCGGCCTTCCTATGGTTCGTAGAGAATTTAATCTAGTTTCCAGAACATTTTTCGGAAATGTGATAGCATTTCTAGATTTTAAGTTATTTAGAAAACATTTCAGTGCTGTCCAAATTTGTCGATCGCTACGAAAATTTGATTTTCTTGCAAACCGCTCACTGTTTTCCAATGAAACCAATTTTAGTTGAAAGATAACTCCTTAAGGAAGACTGTGACATAAAATAGAGGTCCAGAATAATTTTCTACATTTTTCTAGAATTTTTGAAAGTGGGTTGCAAAAACAGATTCTAAGGTACAATGCCCAAAACAAGAAGATTTATGAGAAAAGGGGTCCACTAAGGGAAAAGTTTTGTTTCTTTTGTGATGAAAACATGCTAACTAACATACATTAAACTCAGAAAATTTGCTTGGAAGTGTGCCTTTGGAAAGTTTGAGAGATTGGTATGAAAAAGATGGTTTTGTGCCGAAACGGGGGAAAATACAAGAGAGGTAGAATCAATGCTCAACTCTTAGCATTTTAACACAAGTAACTCATCAATAACACATCTGAAAACATTATTTAGAACCCTTAAGAATATGTATTTGAAAAAGGAAAATGAAAGAGAAGGTTGTGTTGTGGCTTACTTGCTAGGCTTTGAACAATATGGCTCTTCTATTCCTTCCTCTCCCTCTCAAGACTTCTCTCTTGCTCTCCTTCCTCTCCTCTAGGCCGAATGTGTGTGTGAGTGTGTTATTTGTGTTTGCCATGCTAGGGGGTGGTGGTATTTATAGGCAAATTTTGTGTAAAAAGACATAAAAGCCCACTAGTTGGAATTGGATGAAAAATTTAGGATTTGCTTGGAGTCTAATGGAATAGGAGTGATTAGGGAGCTTAATCATGGGATTAGGCACTATCTAGTTGGTCCCTAGTTGAAATGAAACTAGCATTGGAAACAAAACCCTAGGTCTAGGGGTACTAGGTGTTAGGGTTTCTAGAATACCATGATTACAATTCTTGAAAATAGGTTCCTCACATCTTCCTAGGGTGGCCGGCCATTGGGAAGGGTGATGGAGCTTATTTTTTATTCAATTTAGGTACTAGGGACACATTTCCCAATGTATATATATATATATATAGATTTCAAATTGATTGATGGTACCTATAATATAAAAGTACATGTACTAGTTTTGGCGCAAATCTTGAAATTAATAAAAGAAGTGAGGGCTTGGAATAAAACTTATGTTTTGGAACCTTATTTATGTAGGATTAAATTAAATTAGACTAAAGAACCTAATTCGGCTAGGATATTCCTATTTTGATAAAAATAAAAAAATGCTAACCAACAAGATTTGAAATAATTCAAGAAACTGAGGGCCTTTAAGAAAATAATTCAGACATTAGGGTTTTTAAAGAGAATACATTTTTCAGGGGCTTCACAGATGGTTTGGTGTTGAGAGAGAGTAAAGGAGAGGGAGAGAGAGAGAGAGAGGGAATGTTAGGATTTGAGTGAAATGATACTATGTATATGATATATGTAAGGAGGGGTATTTTGGTCATCTTACTTGAGTTTGTTCTTTTGAACAAGGTGTTTGAGACCATGAACCTTTAGTCGAAGAAAATTAAAATTTGGATTTATGAACAAAGTACCCAAAAAAAAAATTCCAAAATTACTTTACACTATGTTTGGGAATTTAAGAGAGAAAAGAAAAGAAATGATTATTGAAGTTATAAGAGAAAAGAAAAGAAAAAAAAAAGAAATGATTGTGATTTCTCTCATTCTTGTTTGGATAAGTAAGAAAAAAAATAAAAGAAATAATTATGATTTCTCTCATTCTTGTTTGGTTAGATTTCATAAGAGAAAAGAAAAGAAATTATTTTATGTTATATTACCAAAATAACATTTTTATATTTTCAATCATTTTATTTCTTTTCATTTCACAGAGACAAAATTAGTATTATGAAGTATTGGTTTCTTTTCTCTCTTAATCTCTTCACTTTTGGAAAGATTGAAAATGAGGGTTATAAGAGAAATGAGTTTCTCTCTATTTCTTCCCATTTCCCTCTATTTAAATTATCCACTTTTGGAAATAAAACTCTTAAATATGTATCCATTTTTTTTTTTAATTGTAACTTTTATCAGTATTTTAACTATTCAAGTTTGGTTTAAATTTTTTTTACGAATTTTATAATTTGTTCAAATTTGGTTCATTTTACTTTTTTATGTTACCAAACTAATGAGCAATTAATAGTTCAATGTAACATTTTCTTTTTTAAATTTGTTTTTCTATATGTCAAATAATTTCGCTTTTAACTCTAAACTTTTATCAGTATTTTAACTATTCAAGTTTGGTTTAAATTTTTTTTACGAATTTTATAATTTGTTCAAATTTGGTTCATTTTACTTTTTTATGTTACCAAACTAATGAGCAATTAATAGTTCAATGTAACATTTTCTTTTTTAGATTTGCTTTTCTATATGTCAAATAATTTTGCTTTTAACTCTAGCATGGTTGAATTTTTGACAAAATAAAAAATCATACAAACAAGATCAAACAATTTTTGCCCTTCTCGTTACACACCTAGGTTGAATCTGGAAGTGGTTCTCAACAAGGCCCATGAACAGACTTGTGGTATGGGCCCTGCTAGCGGTGTTGTTGTACAACCCAAATGTTCTGACCTAAACCAGGTTATCAGTAACTTATTGCACCAAGCCCAAAATATAGAGATGAAACAGCCATACCAGATGGGCTCACGGGGAGAAGCATCAAAGTCTAATCAAATAAGAAAAGCTTCAAGAAAGGAAAAAGCAAAAGGGGTTCCAGGCCACTATTTCAACGAGAAGGGCAGCCTTCAGTTTGGAAAAAATAGGAAAGAAATGTCGATGAATTTGAAGAAAGGGGCGGTTTTCAGGTCAGCAGTAGCAGCCATTTCACTCTCTATGTCAAGTGAGTCAAGAAGGAAAGTCCTCAATGATGCTGAAACAAATGCGCAGCTCAGCAAGGTCCTTGGGATGGACGGCAATGGTCAGGAAGAGGAGATTATAAGCAAACTTAATGAAGCTAAAACAAACCTGCAGCTTAGTAGGGTCCTTGGGATGGACTGCAAAGGTAAAGAGGAGGAGATTATAAGCATATTAATGAAGTTGGAAGAATATTGTAAAGCTGAAGGTGATGGAGGGCAATGTTAACTGAATAGCATCCCTAGGAGGTATAAAGAGTCATGGACATTTTGTAATGAAGCTATTATCTTGGAATGTGAGGGGATTGGGAAAGTCAATTAAAAGGAGGAGGATAAAAAAGGTGCTCCTTGACAATAAAGTCGACATGGTGTTGCTGCAAGAGACTAAGAAATCTGTGAGTAATGAAAAGTTAGCTCGGTCAATTTGGGTAGGAGAGATGATGGATTTTATGGCTGTGGACTCAACAGGAGCTGCTGGAGGTTTACTTTGTGTATGGAATCCAGAAGTGTTTCAAATTAAAGACTGTTGCTGTAATAAAAGTTTCATTCTCTTATCAGGTACGCTTTATCATAGCTTTCAATGTGTGGTGGTGAATGTATATGGTCCTAATGATGCAATTAAAAGAAAGGAGGTGTGGGATATCCTGTTAAATATGAAATCAGTATTCCCAAATCCTTGGTGTGTGGGGGGAGATTTCAATGAGATCCGGAGAATTTCAGAAAGAAAAGGGTGCTCTAGAATGGATAGGGGGATGAGAGAATTCAATGCAATGATTGACCAACTAGAGTTAGTTGACTTACCAATGTTCGGGCGAAACTTCACCTGGAGTAATTCTCAGGATGGGGAAAGATGGAGTAGATTAGACAGATTTCTCCTTAACACAGATTGGGTGTGTAATTTTAACTTCAAATTGTGGGGTATCCCTAGAAGGTTTTCAGATCATAGCCCTATCCTACTGTTAGAGGATGAGAGGGACTGGGGTTTTAGACCCTTCAAATTCATTAATGCATGGCTTCTTTATCCAGGCTTTATGAAGGTAGTTCAAAAATGTTGGGCAGAAACAATGTTAGATAGTTGGGCTGGGTTCAAGTGCTTGTATAAATTGAAAGCTTTAAAAGCCACATTAAAGCAGTGGAATAATGAGGTCTTTGGTCATGTTGAATTCAAGCTGAAACAAGTTGAAGAGGAATTACATACTCTGGACTTACTGGTTAAAGAAGGGTCATTATCATCATCATAGGCTGCTAGAAGGAGGGAGGCTAAAGGGGAAGCATGGCAACTAAGTAAAATGGTGGAGTGGGTGTGGATGCAGAAATCAAGGCTGAATTGGGCAATTAAAGGTGATAGAAATACAAAATTTTTCCACATTATGGCTTGTAGTAGGAAGAACAAGAATGCCTTATGTTCTATTGTGATTAATGGTTCTGCGGTAGAGAATCCTCAAGATGTTAGGGCTGAAGTGAAAAATCATTTTCTTAACCACTTCTCAGATTCTTGGTCTAGTAGACCAGGGCTGCTAGGTCCTTTTAACACAATTGGAGAAGATCAAAGCTCAGAATCTGAAGTGAAGGCAGCAATTAGGAATTGTGGGGGTAATAAGGCTCCTGGCCCAGATGGATTTAATTTTAACATGTTTCAGAAATGTTGGGATATTATTAAGGGTGATGTACTCCAATTTATGACTGAATTTCACCAGAATGGGAAGTTGGTTCGCGGGATTAACAGCTCTTTTATAGCTTTGATTCCAAAAAATGAGAATCCCTCTAGCCTTGCAGAGTATAGGTCCATCAGTCTGATTGGTTCCTTGTATAAGATTCTTGCAAAAGTACTCTCCAATAGGATGAAGACAGTAATGCCTAGAATAATCAGTGTTACACAGTCTGCCTTCATTGGGGGAAGAAATATTCTGGATGGGATATTGATTGCAAATGAGGTTGTTGATGGGTGGAAGAAGGACATAAGAAAGGGGGTAATACTGAAGCTTGATTTTGAAAAAGCATATGATTCAGTAAATTGGGGATTTTTATTCTCAATGTTATCAAACTTTGGGTTTGGGGCTAAATGGGTGAGTTGGATAAAAGAATGTGTAACTTCAGCTAGTATTTCTATTTTGGTGAATGGTTCTCCAACTTCTGAATTTAAACCTCAGAGAGGGCTGAGACAAGGAGACTCGTTATCACCTTTTCTATTTAATATTGTGGCAGAAAGTCTCAATATATTGTTGGAAAGGGCAAAGCAGCTGGGTTTGATCAAGGGTGCGGTTGTGGGTTCTGATCTTAGGATCACACACTTGCAATTTGCTGATGATACTATATTGTTCTGTGAAGCTGAATGGGAGGAGATATTAAATATTAAGAGAATATTGAGATGCTTTAAAATTATGTCGGGCCTGCAAATCAATTACCATAAAAGTGTGGTATGTGGGGTGGGTATATCGTCAACTCTATGTCAAGAGTTTGCCTCTAAAATCTACCTCTGAAGTACTTGGGAATGCCTTTGGGAGCTAGCCCTAGTAGAAAGTTGACTTGGCAGCCTGTGATTGAAAAGTTTAAATTAAAGCTTGCCTCATGGAAAAGAAGGTTTCTCTCCTTTGCAGGTAGATTAACACTCATAAAAGCGGTGTTGTCTAGTTTGCCAATATATTATCTTTCTCTGTTTAAGATGCCTACAGGAGTAGCAAAAGAGATTGCTAAAATCCAATCAACTTTTCTTTGGGGAGGCTCGAACCTTAGAAGGAAAATCCATTTGGTTAAATGGGGAGAGGTTACTCTTAGTAAAAGTCAAGGAGGGCTGGGGGTGAAAAGAACTGATTTGATGAATGTATGTCTACTATTAAAATGGTGGTGGAGGTTTGGGGCAGAAGAGAAAGCCCTGTGGAAGGATGTGATTTGCAAAAAATACTATGGTTCTACCGATGAGTGGTCACCTGCACTTGTAAGAGGTGGAAGGATGTCTAAAATATGGGAAGACATTGTGGGAATTGTAGTATCTAAACCTGAAGTGCTGGGCTTTTTTAATTCGAATACTACAATTGAACTTGGGGATGGCTTCAGGGCAAAGTTTTGGCTTGATAATTGGGCTGGTTCTGTTTGCTTGAAGGTTTTGTTCCCTAGACTCTTTTTATTGGCTCTGAACAAATCTGAATCTGTGTATACAGTGAGAGCTAGAGTTGGTCAACATGATTGGTATTCATTGTTTCGAAGGAGTTTATTTGTATGGGAAATGGAGGAATTAGATAGATTGAAGGGCATGTTGCGTAATGCAGCTGAGTTAAGGGGGAATGTCACTGATAAACTGAAATGGATGGTGGACCCTTCAGGAGTGTTTTCTGTCTCATCAGCATACCATTGGTGCGAATCCTCCTTGGGTTCTACTTTCAGGATAACAGAGTGCATCTGGAAGAATGTGGCGCCCCCAAAAGTCCAATTCTTTGGATGGCTTGCTTGGAAGAGAAGGATTAAGACTTCGAACTACCTTCAAAGGATGGGGATTCTGGAGAATTATACTATTTTACATTGTGTGTTCTGCAATGAGGAGGAGGAAACAGACAACCATGTACTCCTGCATTGTCCTTTTGTTTGGTTAGTATGGTCCAAAATTATGAGATGGTGGGGCATTCAATGGGTGATACCAAAATCAGTGGATGAACTGCTTCTTTGGTGGTCAGGATCAAAGTTCAAAAAATTAGAGAAGAAGATTTGGAGAATCATTCCGTTGGCGGTGCTCTGGTCAGTATGGAAGTTAAGGAATGATTGTATTTTCAACAATGCCCAACCCAGCTTGGAGGAACTCTGTGAATTGATCAAAGTGAGAATTGCAATATGGTTCAAAGCATCATGCTCAGGTTTGCCCCTCTCTGTAAATGACATTATGTTTAATCTACATTAGCTTAGACTTTGCTATAGGTGATATCTGTTAATTTATAATTCTGGGTTGGTCTGAGGTGGACTGCTGCTGGGGTCTGTTGATATCTGTTAATTTGGGTCTGGGGTGGACTGCTGCTGGGTGAGTAATGTTATGCTGTCTATTCTATTTTCTGCTCTGTTTGCTGCTGATATTTGTTAATTGGGTCTGGAGTGGACTGCCTGCAGAGTGTCTTTGCCACTGTTATGCTGTCTGTTCTGTTGTTTCTTAAGGTATCTCAACCAAATTTTAATGATCTGTGTGGATTGGTTATTGGTTGAGGGAAGTTCATTGCTGGTTACTGCTGTGCTTGCTACTCATCTGCTTATATTGCTTCAAAAGGGTGTCTGGTGATGGGTGTTTTCCCTGTTTGCTCTATATGTTGGTTACTCACCAACTTCGAGCTTTGAGGTAGTGCTAGCAGATGATTTGGTGGGTTTCTTGGTGCCAACCTGGTTGGGATCATGAGTTTCCACTGTGATGCTTTTTGCACCCTCCTCTTTATTGATGTAATTTTCATCCTTCGTATGTTTTCCATCAATAAAATTTTTTTGCTGAATAAAAAAAACAATTAATTTGAAACATAAAACAAATCTTCTTAAGCTTTCTATCTACAATTCAAGAATTTAAACAAACAAACAAACAGGGTAAGAGAACTATCAACCAAAAAAAGACTATTATATAAAATAAAATAAAATAGAGAAAAAGCTTCAAAATCAGAACTTTACTTTACTTTTTAGCTAAATTAGTTAGTAATGCTAAAAAACGTAGTTACTTGTTGAATTAAATTGAAAGAGAAATAAGAGAAACTCACTGACCAATGTATTATCCAAAGTCCCAATGAAAATGAATTTTCCATTGGGAGAAAAGTTGATGAAGCCGATAGGAGGATTCTCATCATCAATAAGAGTCTTGATACAATGGCCAGTGGAGACATGTGATTGAAAAGTTGGAACTTTTCATGCGGTATTCCATCGACATGAACAAGTCACCTCACAAGGCATGAACAAGTCACTTTCCAATTGAAGCTACCTCATCAAACCAAACAACGTGCTTATTTCTTAAGTCTGTTTGTTTTGAGAGATAGAATGGAGGAGATTTATAGTGAAAGAATTAATAGTGAGGGAATTGTTAATGAGAAAATTAATAGTGAGGAATTGTTAAATTATTTTTATATAAAATAATAAAATAAATAAAAAAAATAAAAAATTAAACATTATATTTTAAAAAAAATTCCCAATATATAAAAAATAAAAAAATTCTTATCCCCTCACTATTTTTCTAATACCATCTCTACCTCCTCCTTACCAATCCCCCTTACAAGGGGACTATTAATACCAAGGGATTAATAGTCTCCTTCCCATCTCTCAAAACAAACACCCCATTAGTAATACCAATGGATTAGTAATCCCAATCCCCTCCCTATAATCCCAAACAAATGGGGCCTAATATATGTTGTACTATGAAATGGGAAATCCTAAATCTATGATTTGTTAGGGGTGTTTGGCAAGAGTTGTTTTTTTAATTTTTTGGGTTAAAATCTACAAAAAAAGATAAAATAGGCTAAAATAGTTAATCAGACAAAATATCACATTAAATCCGTAATCATTTCACTTTTTTTTTCACAAACATCATATCCAACTACAAAAAAAATTCAACTATCTTTTCAAATACAAAAATTTTAGTCTACCAAAATAGTTAAAAACTAAAATAATCTACTAAAATAATAACTTTCCAAACACTCACATAATATTTTGTAGAGGTAGTATTATTGGACTGAGAAAGAAAGCTTGCTTTTAAAGGGTTTAGAGAGGATGTAGAAACCAAGCAATTTCATAGGGGAAATGCTATATACCATATGCACCATATTAGAAAAATGTGTAATTTTATTACAAAATTTTGTAATATTAATTATAAAATGTATAATTTTATTACAAATTAGCGTAATAAAATATATAAAATTTTGTGATTGATGTTACAAAAATTTGTGACTTAATTACGACATTTTTTATTACACTAATTTGTGAAAAAATTATGCATTTTATAATTGATGATATGAAATTTTATAGTAAAATTACATGGTTTGTAGTAGGGTGGTGCACACCGTAACATTTCCCTTTCAGCCGCCGAAATATTGACAATTTCGTCAAGAAATGGCTGCATTTACCATTTCAACATGCGGTTTGCTGTTTATTATGAAGAATATAGACTCATTCTCGTGCATATTAATTGGTGTCAGGAGGGCTATTAGGCTGGCTTTAAAGTCTCTCTTTCCATCTTCCAAAAACATCTATAAAAGCAGTTCTAAGTGGTTACTTATTTCCCATCTCATCAAATCTTTCAACTCTCAAAAGAAGATTGCTTCATTCTCAACAACAAGAAGATTTTTAGTTTCCAAAATGGCATCACAATTTGCTTTGTTATTAGGATTATTGGCTATAACTTGTTCGGTTGCTTTTGCATCTGACGATAATCCTCTTCAAGATTTCTGTGTTGCAGACAACAGTAGCTCAGGTTTTATGTTCTTCATATATACTTTCTTGTTTATTTGGTTCTATTTTCTATTTTTTTCTGTTTTTTATTTTTATTTTCTTGAAAAATGTAGAAAATTGTTTGACGAACAGCTTTTGAATTATTTATTTATTTTTTAAAATAGTTCACTATTTAGGAAACACCAAAGTATATTTTTAATTTTTGAAAATAGTTTTTGCATAAAAAAGAAAAACACGAAAAAGAAGATTTTATTTATTAAAAAAAAACCAAACCAATTTATTTGTATACACATCCTATAATAATCTACTTATTGAGTTTTATGGGCCTTAAATCTTTTATTTTTTGTGGTTGTAGTGCTAGTGAATGGTTTGGTGTGCAAGGATCCGAAGCTTGTAGAAGCCAATGATTTCTTGTTTAGAGGGCTACGCTTAGCAGGCAATACATCGAATGCAGTTGGATCGAAGGTGAATTTAGTAAATGTTGAACAATTTCCAGCGCTTAACACTCTTGGCATTTCCATGGCCCGCGTTGACTACGCACCATTGGGCATCAACCCTCCCCACATACATCCTCGGGCCACTGAAATTTTGACTGTCATTGAAGGGAGCCTACAAGTAGGGTTTGTCACCTCTAACCCAGAAAATCGTTTCATCACAAAGCTACTTCAGAAGGGTGATGTGTTTGTATTCCCGATGGGTCTTATCCATTTCCAGCGTAATGTTGGACCTGGTAATGCAATAGCCATTTCAGCACTTAGTAGCCAAAATCCTGGTATTATTACCATTGCAAATGCTGTCTTTGGGTCAAAACCTGCAATCTCCAGTGATCTTCTCTCAAAGGCTTTCCAAGTGGATAAAAATATAATTGTTCGTATGGAGTCTCAATTCTAAACATTCATTCCAAGGCAACAAATCAAAAAGAAAAATGTCTAGGCCAATTGTTTCAAGATTTTTGAATTTTTATATTTTACTTTATTGTTCAGCTAGTTGATTTGTTATTCTTTGATTGATTTTTCCAAATATAAATAAAAGAATGTAATAAGTTTGTAAACTTCTTTACTTCATTATTTTTAGTGTATATCAAGATTTGATATATCTGGTTATTATTATTATTTCCTTTGAGAAAGAAGTTCATTGCCATCAAAATATGCATGTATGTTATCATTCAAGTCGTTGATAAGATACTTCTATATAATAACACCATAGCGTGATATGACCTTAAATTGGGGGTGAAGTTCAAATGACGTGTCCATAGGTGTTAGAAATTTTATTTGATGAGTCAAGGTTAGTGTAGCAAAAAAGAAGGAAAAAAAAAAGGAAAAAAAAACCTTTAGAAAATGATAATTTCTTACAAGTTATTAGAAAATATATATAGATTGATATCAATGATTTCTTAATACTTATCTCAATTGTTTCGTACAATTTTTTTGTTCCATAATAAGGAACTGTTATTTTAAGAATTTTATTAGTTGATAAAACATCTACTTCTATGTATTTTTATAATGAAAAAAAACAACACATGACATTTGCATGTCAAATCAATAGAACTAATGGTATTATGTAATATGTGAAAGAGTTCGGGTTCATGGCAAGTATGTTAGGAATACTCATGAAATAAGGAGTTGACTGATAAATCAATTTAGACGGGTCTGGTTTGATCTGGTTTTTCAAGAGAACAATTTGGTTTTGGTTCGAAGTAATTAAAAACTATTGGTTATTGTTTAGTTTCAAAATTAAGGCTCAAAGAACTAGACCAAACTATTATATTTATAAGATTGTGAGTATTGCTATTTAGACCAAAAAATTAGACTTATTTTTTAGATCCAATGATGTATCACTTTATTCAAATATCTAAGTCAAATTTGTGGGAACCTATTTATTAAACTAGTGAACTGTGTATTTAAAAATAAGATAATGACTTATACAATAAAAGTCTAAAATAATTTCAAAATCTAAATTATTTTTTGGAAATCAGAAAACTATTTTGTAACAGAATAATATTTCCAAAAACCACAAATAAGAAAAGAAATTCTTGTAAAAGTATATAACAAAGCATAAGTCTACAAACAATAAATCAAATTAAATAATATGAATAGAACTTACAGGATGTAGAAAATGCAGAAATACAGAAAAAGTTAAGGCCTGTGTTGGACACACTCTCCTTAAGATCGTTACGTCTTCGCTATGGTGCTCGAGAACAATGATACCGACCTCCTAGGATGCAATATAGCGATCCCGGGTTTACCCTTGTTGAACAGTGATCCAGACATGTGTCCGTGGATGTTGGTAGTTGATTATTATCTTGTTTACATCCTTTTTACTTCGTATTTGAGTTATAGGATGTGTTGGGCAGGTTTGTTATGGGTTGGTTGAGTTTAGAAACCAAAACTAGTTGCCCAGATTTTGGCCTGTCCGCTCGAGCGGGTCTTCTTGCGCTCGAGCGGGGATTACACACTTCCAGTATTTCGTGTCTCTGCAAAACTTCTGCAGATGTGATTTTTGCGCTCGAGCGGGTTTGTTTACGCTCGAGCGGTGGCGCTCGAGCGGGTCGGTGGGCGCTCGAGCGGGTAGTACTTCCAGAGTATAAGTTCTGGGAGGGGGAAATCTACGCTCGAGCGGACTAGTTTTCGTGCTCGAGCGGATGTACTTTATTCTTGTGTCTTGGCGCTCAAGCGGTACTTCTTGCGCTCGAGCATGATCAGATGTTTGTGCTTTACGCTCGAGCGTCTTGTTCTCCGCTCGAGCGGGTCATACGTATATGAGTTATCCGCTGGGTGATTTTAAATCACTTTTTGCTTTTCTTTCTCTCTCCTACTTTTTCTAAAAACCATTTTGAGAGTCTCTCTCTCTAAAATCTTACAT